TGGTTTTTGCGAGATGTCGCCATTTCTCTTGGTTTATATATATACAAATAGCCTTCTTATTTGAACCGAGCGACAATGTGACATTCGCGACAACATGCCGCAAGACAACGCGCTGTTTTGCGTGCAGTGCGACAACGCGCCGTTTTGCTCTTTGTCGTGCTGTCGCTAGCGACAACACGATGCAAGTGTTCCAAATCAGCCACCATAATATTCATGTTATCAGTTTTCGTTTTATTCTGAGAGATAAGCAATAATTATAATAATGCAATTAAATGAAGTAAAACAGAAATTGTTTATTGGTGTTTATTTTCAAGCAGTAGACCAAAACATGTACAATGTACTATATTGTTACATATTACTTCATATTATGTTTTTAACAAAGGTATATACTGTATGTGAACATAATAAAAGGATGTTCCAATTTGATTGCACATTTCATGTTTGAGTAATTCTGGAACGTTTAAACATAGAAAGTCATTGCAATAAAACTTTCGACAGAAAAAAAACACCGCCTAAAACCTCCCTTATATATGAATATATGATTATTGTATTATGCAGATTATGAGACGGACAAATACACTTAAGTAACGTGTGAACCAGATTCCCTTAAATGATATGCGTATCAAATACACTAAAGAAACATGGGTTCCAGTTACACTTAAATAACATGCGTATCAAATACAGTTAAATAACCTTCGTATCAAATACACTTAGGTAACCTGCGTATCAAATTCACTTAAGTAACCTGCGTATCAAATACACTTAAGTAACATGAGGACCAGATACACTTAAGTAACGTGTATCAAATACACTTAAGTAACATGAGGACCATATACAATTAAGTAACGTGCGTATTAAAAAGTAACCTGCGTATCAAATGCACTTAAGTTAACTGCGTATCAAAACACTTAAATAACGTGGGCACCAGATACCTTTAAATAACATGCGTATCAAAAACACTTAAATAATATGCGTATCAAATACACTTAAGTAACCTGCGTATCAAATACACTTAAATCATCTACGTAGTAACGTTGGTACCAGATACCCTTAGTTAACCTGCGATTCAAATACACTTAAACAATCTGCGTATCAAATACACTTAAATAACCTGCGTATCAAATACACTTAAATAACCTGCGTAAAGATACACTTAAGTAAACTGCGTATCAAATGCACTTAAATCACGTGTTTTAAACAAATTTTCGTATTGGGGTACCAGATACCTTTAAATAACATGTGTATCAAATACACTTAAGTAACCTGCGTATCAATTACACGTAAGTTACCTGCGTATCAAAAACACTTAAGTAACGTGGGTACCAGATGCCCTTACATAACATGCGTATCAAATACACTTAAATAACCTGCGTATGAAATACACCTAAGTAACCCGCATATCAAATACAAAACCGCCTCCGTGGTCGAGGGGTTAGAGTCGCTGACTTCTAATCCAGTTACCTCTCTGGCGTGGGTTCGATCCCCGGGAGATGCTTTGGTAGTTTAGCGCGGAGGAAGGTAGTCTAGTACTGGTGTAACTCTCCAGGAACGATGGATAGGAAACTACCCGCCTATATGACTGAAATACTGTTGGGAAAAGGCGTAAAATGAAACAAACAAACAATCAAAAACACTTGACTCGTGAATCAAATACACTTAACTAACATGCATATGAAATACGTTTAACTAAATACATATTAAATGCACTTTATATGAAATCAAATACACTTGTCATAATCTTGTATCAAATACACTTAAATAGCATCTGTATCAAAATACAATAATCTAACTAAACTAACTTGCAGATCAAATACACGTATCTAACACGTGTATAAAATATTCTTACCTTACACGTATCAAATGCACTTAACAAATACTCTTAAATAATACGCAGTTAAATACACTTAAATTTCGAACTCACTTTGATATAATGATATGCACAAAGTTGGATGAAGAAGAAAAACAGCCATAAACATAAACATATTTTCTTTGTGAAAAAAAAAAAACAAACAAAAAACAGCAACTAGTCTAAATATTTCCACAATTTGGAATCTCTTTTAGGCTATTTATAGTGATGATGAAAAACAATTTCTTCATAATAGACATTATTTGTTAAAATAGCTTTCTTAGAAATGCAGTTATTTCTGGAAGACCAAGACCTAACTAATGTAAATATGGATCACAATAGGAATATGATTAGATCACAATCCACACATGAATGTTTTCCAAACTACTTTTAGGATAACCATGATAATGCTGATTGACACGACACATTCATTTTCGTCATAAATACTTTCTCCTGTTTGAAATAAATGTATGTTTTATATATGTTTTAATATCATGAATGCTGAAGATATAATACTGAAATATTTTATACTCTCAACCTTAAACTCCAGCTCTCGTATAGGAACGTCATCCTTGTTAATCTATGTGTCACCATTCGAACGACCCAACAACCAAAGCATGTTATGAAGGCAGTGTTCTGAACGCAAAAGCATTGTCGTGTCCGGAGCATTTCAGGTTGGCAATTACAGAGTACTTTTCAGGCGACATCTCTATTTCCTGTCTTAGTTCTTCAAAACTTTCGGCACCGCTCTCATGCTCCACGTCACACGAGGCGATTTCTACTGTAACACTATGTTTATATGTACTTAACTGTTCAATCAAGTTTCTCAATGCTTGATTCTCCATACTTATTTCAATGAGTCGCACGTGTTCAACAGTTTTGTGTCTCGACAATATAAGTTCGTTTTTTTGCAGGTCAAGACCTTTCAATTGTAGGTTAACTAAGTGTTCAAAATGAGTTAATCTACTTAATATCTTTTTGACAGTTTCGTATGAATCTATGAATTCAATAACTAATGTACGAATATTGATGGCGGACGAAGCGTAGTCGGTCAAGAATGACGTGACCATAGCCTGGTTGCATTCTCCCCAAAATTCCCGTATTGATAAGGGGTTGACCTTTACCTGATCAGCGCACATGTTTCCAACACCAATGACATCAAGTTGCGTGTGTTCAGACAGATCCAGTATACGCGCAACACAATTGTTATTCTCATGATCTAGGCATTTTACCCGGGCTATTTTAATTTGTCTCATCGACTTCCTACCTTCTATCCACTTTACTACTTTTTCTATCTGACTATGATTCATTGATATACAATAAAGATCGATGCTTTCCAAAACCTTTAAAGACATCAGTTTATCGACGCTTCCCTCAGATACTTCAATGTACCTTTCAATTTCTTTTGTTCCTTGCATTTCGCACCCATGAAGAAGAAGACACTCTAATGTGTCCGGAGACGCCCCTAGCATCATTTCAACATCTTTACTACAAGGATGACCCCAGATATCCAGTTTTTGCAGTGATTTCATTTTGTCCACTCCCAGTCGCAGTCTTAGATCATGGACACTTTTGCGGGAAAGAGCCCGTCCAAATTTGATTGATTTAACAACTGTGTGCCTTAACGTTTCATCATCTGAGTGCCTTAATAAATCAATCAATGATGATACATACTGGCTCTCAGGTTCACCTTCAAAATTCAGAAACATATCTTCCAACTGATAACGAGGTTCGTACCCGTTGTCTCTACATTCATTCACACACGCTACCATTACATTCTGGAAATCTTGTTTTAAATCACACATTTCCCAGTAGTCTGCGAAAGCGTACGTATTTCTCCGGAGGCTTTTTGTTTGACAACTGTTTGAAATAACATTTGCTATCCCGTTTAGAACTGTTTGACTTGCAATTGGACTGAGCCCACATAGATTCTGTAAACAGCTTGCGTTCAGTAAAACTGAATTTATATCTGGACATGATTTAATCACAATGTCTGTCTCTTTTTGGTTAAATGCTACATGGAGAGCAGCGAAGAACTCGTGAAAAGTTTTGTGAATAAAGGATATCCTTATATCACGGGATGTTAATCCTTTACTCCGTACTATCTTTGTTATTATGCCGGTCTTCAGCCAAAATTCAATGCAGCTTTTTGACATGTTTTTCTTTGCTATATTTTCATTAAATACCAGCCTATTTTCTACTGAACTTTGATTGAAGAGTGTAAGGAAAGCAATATGCGACAAGTCCTTCACGAAATGAATGTTCTTACAACAATGCTCCTTTCCCTCGAAGCATTCTGGTTTGTAAGTACTGTCATTCGGATTAATTTCTACCTCCTGCTGCAGTTGTCGTGCCACTTTTTGTAGCAGCATCTCTAAGATGTTACAGTATAAATCACAACGAGAATCACCTAATGGTTTCCCATCCTGCCAGAGACATATCATGTATAATAATAACATTGGACTAGTCTCCAGGTCATTGACGTTTCTTCTTGCAACTTTTTTTTCAAATTCCTTCAAACTGTTCTCCAACTCCGACTGATCGTCACAACTACCGAAATGTTTTAATATGTTTGTTATTAAAGCTTTCTTACCCTCTTTATCAATACCTGTCATTTCTAGCTGTAGATCAATCTTACTTTGTTTTATTCTAGCCACTGTATATCTCCAAGGGCGAGTGGTGGTTAAAAATGTGCAAGATTGCCTAGGTCTTCTAATTGGAATATTCCCTTTTTCATGTGACCATTCGTCGAGACCATCTAGAATAATCAGACATTTTCTCTCTGATAAGATATGTTCAAGAAATTCAGTTTTGTATTGTGACGCATGCGCAAGGTATCTAATGATCTGTTGCTGTATCATTTCGTCAACGTCAAGATGCGTCTGATCAGATTCTTTTAAGGAAATGTAAAATACAAAATCAAAATAACTGATTTCATCGATTTCGTCCTGGGTAAAGCTTCTCTGAATTTTGTCAGATTCGTTCGCTTGTCTCCATATCAAAGCTAACCGTTTTCCAAACACCGATTTTCCAAGCCCGGTTTCTGCACACAAATATATTTCACGATAAGGTCCGTTCTGACCGTGAAATATTTCTCTGAAAGATGATATACGTGCTGTTCTTTGGCCTTTTTTGGCGTTTGGGCAGCCCGACAAAACCCTGTTGATTGTAGGCTGGACATAAACGTCCGGAACTGCCATGTCAATATCTTCAAACAGCGGGGAGATAGGTATCGTGCCATGTATATCTTTGTTGAATTGTATTAAGTCCTTCTTAAGATCTGAGAAATGAAAAAAGGATTAACCGCCATTTAATATTATACCAACTACTCAATTTGTTATTTACCAGTCTCAAACCATACAACCCTATAAAAATTTAAAAAAAACATTTATACCTTTAATGTTATGCTTTAAATAAAATACTGTACATAGGAACGATCAAGACATTGAAAGAACAGAAGTCTTTGTCTATAATGCAACCACTTCCTTATTACGAATACCCCGATACTTAAAAATTGATGATAGCATGTACTGATAATGTCTAAATTTAAATCTAATACATGCATGACAGAAATTTGTGTGAAGAGAGATTTAAATCAATACTAAATGGCTAAAGTCCTACTTAAAAAGGCAGTATGACATTTTGTTCCCAGACATGTTATTTTGTAAACGAACATTATTCATGCGTGTTAAATATCAGAGGCATTTTAAATTTCATTAGATATAGCTTATTACGCTTTAAATTGTGAACAAATAGTTCCGAATTCATATCCATGTCCATATAAAAAAATTATCAGTAGTACGATTTAGAAAAATAGTTAACATTTTTATATGTCTGAAGTACAAACGGTCATATTCATAAATGAAGCTTCAAATTTTTTAAAATAATTATTCAACTGAAGAATAACTTATAGGTGAAAGAGTGTGAAAATCTTACTTTTCTCAATTTGACTCTGTAGACACTGCTGTCCATATCCTTCAGGTAAAACAAAAGAACCATCTTTCAACTGGAATGTCAAGTAAAGAAAAATGTTGTAAGGCATTGCCAAAATTGTGACTCAGAAAAATGTATCAATAGTTTAAAAACAAGACCAACCATTCTCAATCTTTAATTTCCAAAATATACCAAGATATACCAAAATTGTTTAAATGAATAAAGTAAATTTAAGTAATGTGAAGTATCAGCTGCTCGTTAAGAAACTGAGAGAGCAAGAGTGACTACTATGTCACATGACCACAATAATTGTTTTAAAAACAGTGGGAAATTCAATGGTTGGCTTACCATCGCAATTTCAGGGGAGATAATAGACAATTCTTTAAACGTTAACAACAAAATTAGAAAGCATTAAAATAAACGAAAATATCGAAAAACAGAAACTGGTTATTTATCGTAAAACTAAGACAATTGTTGTTTACATCACGTGTCAAAAGGATTCAGCGATAACCATCAATATCAAGGTGAGAAAATGGGCGAGTTACAGAATAACGGGGTCGTCTCGATATCAGGGTTGGCGATCATTGAAAATAATTTCACACATCATTGCCCAAAACATTCGGGTATTTGTACTCAATGAGGTTGATTATCCTATGAAATTTGAAGGTTGTAGCTAGTTATTGATCGAAACCGACAGACAGACAGAAAATTTCATAACAATTTACTTTTTATTTCAAAGAGGCATAATTATCAAGTAATAATCCTAATTTCACGTTTAATAATTATAATAATTTGTGTTTTACATCAACAATCAATTTAACTTACTCTTCCTTATAAGTTACTCTTTAAATAAATGTTGTAGTCTTTGAATCATTTGTCGGAAACGATGAGTGTTTAATTGCTTTAGTACTTAACCATAATAAGTGGTATATGAAATGTGTTGTTTGATATACACATACTTGGTACTCTTGGTAATTCTTGAACATTGGAGCTTTTTTATCATTTTAAGGGAGATAAATGTTTCAGACATCGTTATTGATTAAAAAAAAACAAAAACAAAAAAACAACAACAACAACAAATAAACACACCCCCACATCCACCACCACCACCAACAACAACAACAACAACAACACAGTAATAACCTGTTCTAATTTGGCTCGAGCGTCTGAGGTCTTGGAATTATTTTTGAAACTCTCACAACAGGACAGAAGTTGTTGTAGTGTGCAGACGACATCTTCTAGCTTCTGGTCGCTAAGTAACATATCTGAATTGTGTCTCAAATCGTTCAATAAATGTCGTGCCTGTGTAAATCGTGCAATTATAATATTTGAATATACATTATATGTATTCATGTATCGTTATATACTTTAGTATTTTCTGACATTATACCGCACAAAATGTTAAGGGGGTCCTTTTATATGGAAAAAAACAGCGTTTCAAGTAAAATGTACTGACGTACTGAAAACGTTTAGCAGTCCGCTAGCATAATGCGCGATTTATAAAAAAAATATTCTTCATTTTTATTTATAACTAAATTTTATTCATTTACATATGTGACGGTGGAACACATTTATGCAAGGTATACTTAATATATATAATTATAAGTATTTGATAATTCATTAAACGTGAATATCATAGCTACTTTTAACCTAAATGAAGTTGATGAAAATAAAAAAGGGCCTAAAGAAATGGCCTCCACATTTAAGATAAGATATTTGACTAAGACGCCAGTTAAAAGGAAATATGTTCTCTTGTACAAAGAAAAGGAACTATATTCTTAGAATCGGGCATTACTGTGGCAGAGCGAGTTTTATATAAACATGTTGTTATTGTATTTATATTCCATTTTATTTTGTTAACAGTTTCATCAATTTTATACTGCAGATCTAAAATGCATTTAACATACATTGTATTTAAAATATTTTAAAATTTAAAATTCCGACAAAAACGAGTGTTAATTAAAATAGAAAAGCTCATAGACGAACAAAATTTGCGAACCATAAAAGTGTGGAAAGAGAGTATAAATTCTAAATAACAAAGTTGTTTTACCTTATCACAAATGGAATCGTTGACTTCGTTAACAAAATCATTCTGGTTTAACAATATACTTATGATTCCATTTAGGTCTGTTTCTGAAAAGGTATTCTTGTCGGAATACCCCCCAAGGGGCATAAAACATTTAGCATACTCCCAGTAGGATTTGTTCCAAAGTTCTGCACGAGTATTCTTCCAGGAAGGATTGGAGAATCTATGATCGGTTATAATTCTATCCCGTATCTTGTCACACACTCCATTTGGACACGGTCTAAATAGTTGATGCTTCGAGCATTTTCGATTACAAGTGTTTAATGAACAACAAATAATAGTCTGAGTATAGCAACTTGAGCACCGGAAGTTACTGAGTGTTTGAGTTGTGACATGGTTAATTATCTCCTGATGACGAGTTTGCAACGTGTCGCAGACGACATCCTGCAAGCCAGCTTTGGCTTCAGATACAGCAAAGTGCGCCCCGAGCCAGTTACGAAAGTCCTTGTTTGTCAGTTTAGACTTATAATCAGACATCTTCGTTTCCTGCCCATAAACTGAACTGAAAAGACACAATCATATTTGTACTAGGTGAAACCTATAAGATATTGATAAATTCATTTGTTTAACACGCTATGTATTATCAGAAATAAGAAAGACGTGAGTATTATCAATTTAGTAATGTTTGATAAATCCGTTAAACCAATTAGCAATATCATGATTTATCATTTTAACGGATGCTCCATTCATATTAATAAATAAATTACACATGATACAAATTTCTGCAAATGTGTAGACAAAATAAATGTAAACTCAAAGAAATTTGGCAACATTTCAGAAGAAAATACGTCTACGTTTTAATATATTTAGACACAAAGCCATGAAAGCAATCGACAACATATTAATGAATAAACGTGAATCGGATTATAAACACACATTTTGGCAAAGTGTACCGTATTATATCCTTTCTTTAGCCTGTTAGATCGGCATGGAATAAAACATCAACGTTTAAAACACTAAGTTCAACACAACTTAGTAAAAACAAAATAATACATTCTGGTGCAGCGGAAAATATAGAAACGAAAATTTTATGCACAGTTTTCCAATTTAACCACTACAATTGAACTTTAAATAAATAACTTATTTTTTATAAATTTAATATATTTTTTCCTTGTGTTGATCGAGGCCATTCATAAGCGGAAATTATCAATCATCAATTGATTTCCGGCCAATTAGAGAGATAGAAATACCACACTCTTAAATATGTATAATTATAATAATATGATAATAGATAATCGATTGTGTGAAAATATTGGAAATGAAATAAATTTCAAGGTGATTTTGTGGATATGATTTCTTATCAAAAAAGGGGTTGAAATCTGGTGATTCCGTTTATTTTGATCAAAATTGGGTCATAACACGTTGTGTATTAAACTGTTCACTATAAGAAGATAGTGTGTAAGCGGTCGGATAGCTCAGTGGGTAGAGCCACGAAACGGTATTCCAAGAGTCCCGAGTCCGAGTCCCAGTCAGGCTTCATATTTTTTCACCCTGTGACATTTAGCGCACAACGTGCGGCCGTGACTACGTATAGTTCAGAGTTTAATAAGAAAAAAACACTTTGAACAAACAGAAACTCTCCACATGCGTCATAAACATGTTACGTGTATTGAACAGCGGGGCCAGTATTGTCACTCGTATTCAGATAGATTGAATTGTAAGCCCTTTTTTAGTAGACTAGACTTTCTTTTTTTAGTATTATCGAGGACTTTGAGGGGTTGGGGGCGCCCCAGGTGCTCTCCTTCTCCCTCGGGTGCGCTAGTGATTTTAGAAATTATTATTTCAGCTGATATAGTATAAAAACATACATTGTTACTAAATATAGTAAATAAAAGTACACTTCATCAGTATGACATTAGGCTTAAGGAATCAAGTTTCAACGACAAAAACATCCTCGGTAACCCAGGCTATTTATCGTATACATTACGCTCCCTTCGCAGCTTACTGAATACACTCCCATTACTTCAGACAGTGAGCGATAGTTGAACATTCGACCGATGCGCAGGAGAGTACGTATACATGTATCGATAAATATTAAATATAGTATATACGGAATGTGTACCGTGGGTTCCGACGATGCGACACAAATTGCCTGTTATAGACGATAAGTTTTCAATGGTGATGAATTTTAAACGTGTCAGTTGGTCATTTTATAATAGGTAGGGTCAATTATCAACGTTGAAATTGATCAATAATCAATGAACTCTCATGGATCAGTCTCTTAACAATGACTCATGGGTCATTTTTTCAACCGAGGACAAAATGTTACCCCGGCGTTCATTACTTAAAAATAAAATATATTAAATTAAAGTAGTATTTTTAGATACAAGCTAACTACTTTGGTTACTGTTCATACACGTGTATATAAATATGCTATGAAATATCATACAAATAAAACGGTTCTATTTATCAAGTGATCACGAGTAACACTTCTTCCTTATTGTCGCCCGTTTTGAAAACGTTGGCACTCAGAAAATTTGTGCAAGCATAATTATTGTAAATTACAAATCGTCTAAAGTAATCGATATTTGTAATTTGTGTTCACAGTGACTTTAACATAATATTGAGATTCAGAATACTTATTTGTTTACGTTTAATTATGCACATTCAAGACATCTGGCCACTGTATTTACGGACTTTATCATGCACTACAAAAAGTTGAAAAGAAAGTAATTGACGGTGTTTCTTAAACCACTTCATAAATTTGAACATTTTTTAAATTATTTACGCAATGTCAGAAGTAATATATGCCTGTGTTTTTTGGATATGATTATCAATTGAAAAACCCATTACGAAAACATGTGCGGCGACTTACAAAAATTTTATTGTATACGTATAGAATTGTTCTACCTCTTTGGCAAAATCCCATACATAGAATACTTCTAACAGTCGTCTGGGATTGAAAGGGAGTGACACGAGGTCTTAAGAGTAATAAAAACAAAAATGAGTAGTTTTCAAATAGCAAAGTCGGTTTTATTGAGGCCGCTAAAGAGAGGAAAAAGAAACTTTAACATCTCTTCTACAGTCGCACAAACGGATTTCCGACAATTATGGGTTGTCCTATAATACGGAAAATACAAATACAAAGTCTCCTACTGAAAAAACAGTCAACAGCAGTTTAAAGACGACGACTTATAGCAGACATAATTACATACATCTAATATAGAACGTCGTTCAGCGATGGGAAACTATTGAATGTCAGGGACACAGATTGGTATTGATTTCAAGAATTACTTAGACATGTTTACTATCTTAAATACAGGTTCTAAAAGTATTCGTGAAACTTATCGTGACTTCTTGTTGGCATGCGCTTAAAACACAAGGCTCCTTTTAAAAGGCGGTAACTCATTATTAGAAATTTGATAGAAAATATCATATTTAAAGAGTACACATACATAGTCATTATGTTAATCTATACAATTATATATACATAGTGCACTATGTTGCCGATTGACATTCAACATAAATTTGTCCCGGATTCTTACATATTTCGATGTGCCAGAGTTCTGAGTGGTATTACCATGTATGTTAATTGCACTCAAGATTTAAGAACGATTCAAGAAATTAATGACGGGAAACGGCAAGACATGTAGTGGATGCTAAATAATTGTTGCAAAGAATAACACCCTCAAATTAAAAATCTTGTATGTTGTAATAAAGGTTGTATCAACATTTAAATGTATATAATTATTCTTCTTAAACATTTTCCATAAACATTAAAATGTATGCATTCATTTCTTACTGACAAAACATTTGGCTTAGACTTTATCGAAATTAACCCCCTTTATTTACGTTGAAATGATAATATATCTTTTCAAATAATGCATTTTGAAACTTATGGTATTGATAAATCTTCATTTGAGCATCATATTTATAATATAAAACCATACAAAATTGAGTTACAGGATCTTTAAAATTTCAATATTCAATATCAAAGAGAGTCACATACTTACTTTAAATTAATTTGTACACTCATTTTTTTCTCCATAGGCAATATTCGTCTTCTTTCGTGAATAAAGTACATGCATTTTTTAGAACAGTAACAATAACTCTATAACTGTTCTAAACCTTCTAACTTAAAGTTTAAAAAGGAAATTAATTATTTCATCATATACAATTTGTAACGATAGCTGTACACAAGATATTAGAAAAGGAAGCAAATAAGTTCCGTCGTAAGTTATACAATGTTTAATTATGACTCATTTAAAAGTGTGCTATCCTCGTGACAGGCATTTCTAATTGTAATTAATTTGTTTATAATATGCACATTATGCCTCAGAAACCAATAATAAACTGACGGGCTTAAAAAACGCTACACCCAAAATTGTCACGGTTTTTCTTAATAAAACAACAACAACAAAAACTAAGGGACACAAGCAGCAGACGAAACATTGGTATAATGGTCATCTAACCTACACACAACATATCGATAAACTTCGCTGCTTACGGGGGTCAAACCGAGGATACAGTCACAAACTTCTCGTGCAGTCTGTGCACGATAACCATGCTGTTCAAATTTGTAAAATTTGTCATGTACACACAAACGTTAATTCATAACAACTTAACAAAATAACGTTCGTCAAAAATGCCAAGGTTAAATAAGGAAGAGAGAGCTGCTGGATTGTGGATTGAGTCAAACCATTTTAATTGTTCAAGATCCACAGAAACGCGGCTTGACCAACGTGTTAGAGTTTGTTTGTTTGTCTGTTTGTTTTACGTCACACCGACGCAGTATAGGTCATATGGCGGCGTTTCAGCTGTACTGGTGGAGGAAGAGCTCAGGTGCCCTTCCATGATTTATTTCAGGCACGATCGGGCACCTGAGTAGAACCGACGACGTTCCGTAAGCTATCAGGATAGCTTCCTCACATGAAAGAATGCAAAGTCCCTGTCGGGATTCGAACCCACAGCAGTGAGTGGCAAGTGGTTTGAAGTCGACGACCTTAACCACTCGGCCACGGACGCCCCGACGTGTTAAGGTTACAGGCACACTTGCCGATAGACAACGTTCAGCCCCACCCCCCCCCCCCCCCCGTGATTTGTCTATTTGGTGGTGTGTCGGGGAAAGATCACAGCTAGAAGGTACATTTATCAGGTCCTTGCACCTGTTATTATTCCAATGTTTAACCAACGTCATGAATTAACGTTACAACATAGCAATGCCATGCCACATGTCCCCAGTATCAATGTGGACTACCTCCATCACAACAACATTAACGCACTACCCTGACCATCTTGTTTTCCAGATTGTAAACCAATAGAACACGACTGGGACTACATCGGACAACGTTAACGTAAACGTCAACATCAGCCGAGCACTGTACAGCAATTGACGACACATGTACGTGAGGCTCCTACAGTAAATGTTATATAACTGGCGTGGCTCTTTGAGGAGAAGTTGACTGCTGTAATAGCCAGTGGTGGCGGACACACCAGATATTGATTTTGAAAAAAAAATTTTCTTGACAATGTCTGAAAGATTAGCATTTTAATTCCTGGAAATGACTTTACACTGTTAATCCAATTGCTAACTAAAATTGCCAAAAAAATGTATATTTCCAGTGAAATCCTAGTTTTTACTGTGTAGATGAAATTTTAATCTAATTATTGTTCAGTCAATGTTTCGATTTAGCGTTTCTTATAACCCGTCAGTATATATTATACTTAACATGAGCAAACAACGCTTTAAACAATTGTTTTAGAATTTGTCGGATTCTTTATACCCGAAAAAATAGCGCTAATTGTAAAATTATGTGGCATATTGTTATTAAAGTAGCAACATGTAAACAAAGTTAGTATTTTGACATCCATTACAAATGTAAGTAGGGGCTAGCTTTCTGAGACTTTTCTGAAAATTAATATCTCGCTAATATTCTAACGTTGCGCGATTAGCAAAATACAAAGCCTCAGAAAGCTACTACAACATCTAATTTTCCTATTCGTTTTTAAGTAAAAAGGTTTTTCAAATGTATATAGTTCATTTTCTATTAGTAATTTAAGAAAATGAAATGTAGCTGCCAAGAACTAAATTCATAAATAACGAATGAATACTAGTACGTAAATTTTGCATAACCGGCCACGCCTTTAATAATTTTGGTTCCCGTTTCCAATTGCTACGTTATACACAGCAAAGGTTGGAACCAACGTCAAAAATAGTCCGACACTTCCATAAATTGTACGCTTTGGAGAAAACTTATAGGTATACAATACCATGACGGAAGAAAAAAGATTTTTCAGATAACAGGCACATAGGTGACTCTTTTGGTAACTTAAGAAATACACTTAAATAAGAAGCATTTTTGGAAAACACAAACTATAATGATTTCTGAGGCCTAAGCTAGAACAACTAATAGTTGGCATGTTTACAGTATCCTGCAAGTAGATAGGCCTACATGTAATGTAGCAATAGAAGCGGAACTGCATATTTCAATTAATATGTACACCACAGCTTTGTAGTTACTTAAGTAAATTAGTAATTAAGTCAGTAAGTTATTTATATTATTCTAACTGTATTGTTAAATCAGTACAGTTTAACAAACCGCTCACGCCCCAAATTCCTAGCATGCAAAGAAAAAATCAACACTGACCTGATACTGTGCAAGAATCATATAATCCTCGCCGTGTAATAGATCTCACATCTCCTGAATTTGAATGTATTTAGAAACCTAATAATGTCCCAAACTGTAGTAATGTTGATAATCCCCGACACATTTTCTTTCCCTTTCAGATTTATCTGCGTGCAAAAAACATCTGCGTAATAGACAGAGAAAAAAAAAAAACTCCAACTTAATGTATATGATGTACTATAAATATTTCCGGAAATTAAGCTCTTCAGTAGCGTATGAGGAATATGCGCGTTCAGTGCAGAGGGGTTGTTTTAAACAACAACAACAAAAAAAAAAAAGAAACAAACAAACAAAAACTTATCAACACAACTAAACTGAATACGACTTGACACGACTTGACTGCATCCCTACTCTTTGCAAATGTATTTCTAAATAATACATGTTGAGAAGCTGGAGTAGTGCTAGTTATGATGGGAAATTTTTTGTAGACGGAAAAATTCGGGACTTTCCAGAGTGTAACTATTTTTAGACATTACTCCCTGTTAAAAAATCGCGTATATTTTTTACAGTCAATATCACATTGACCCTATCATACAATGTTTATACGATTTATTGTCATCAAACGACTAATAATGTGGTATGGTATGACATAATATAAATAGCTAAAACGATTCAATAAATTACTTTTTTATCAACACAATAAGCGGACTTCCAATTTTCCACCGTTCCGCTTGCTGAACAGTTATATATATATACGTACTTTTTTAGCTGTAGTGACTCACACATTATAATGTATAACTATCATAAATAAATGTAGGTAATTGAGTTTAATAAGGCTTGGTAGTTATGTTTCATTTTTATGTGTGGTAAGCCTGGCTTAAGTAAGTTGCATCACTTTCACTAATAGATGGGTCGTGCATTAACCAAATCTGAGTCATGGACGATGACGGCATTTAATACCCTAGCCATGATCAAATGAAATAGTAAATTCAGTCTAATCATTATAAACATACAATTTGTACACGTTAAATGATTGGTTCATTCATGGGACCTTTACACCACAGTTGACAGACGCCCGAATCATAGCGAATGTCTCATGTGAAATTATGAATGAAATTATTTTGTATAAAAAAAATATTTTGAATAGAATATAGTTAAAATAATCTAAAAACAAGAAAGACTCTTAGCCTTTCGATCTCCCGGAATACATTTTGGATCCATTTTGGCCTTGTTTATTTTGCCAAATCCAAAATTTCCATATCAGCACTATATATTGTAACCCATTAGCTTCGTTTTTTATTTTTCAGATTACGCAAAATTCAGGGTCAAATTTGCTTATAATGCACGGTCAGTATACATGATCAGTAAAATACTGATTACAGAATTTCAAAAACGTATTATTGCGTACCTACCACCTCTCCCAATATTAGATATGACAGCTATGTACTTGCCAAAATGGAATTCAGTATGTATATAAACCTCATAATAGAGCAACACAAAATACACGAATAAATTGATAAAATTGTAAGAGAACGTTATTGTGCACTAAACGAAGAACCGGAAAAGGCATCGCGTGTCTAAAAAATATCTCGTTATTGTCTTGTGTGCAATGAGTATCTATAATCTCAAGGTTAAAGGTTTTTGGCAACAATCAACGTATTACTTCTTTTAATCTAAACATTATTTTTCCGCTGCCGTAACATTTATTAGTTTGTTTTTATTTGTTTGGGTCGTTATTTGTTGCAATGAAGTATTGTCAAGGGGATTAAATACAAACCACAGCAAGTATTCGTTGTGGTTTTGTAAATTTTTATTCATTATTACCTTACATAAAATAACCTGTAAATAACCTAATGTGACGGGCACATTATATATCACCTTTTGCAATATTTCCCAGGGCGAATACTCTTTATACATTTAAGAAATCGTTATAATGTTCAAGTTCTCTCCCCCTACCACCGGCCTAGGCAGTATTGGAAATGTAAACATGGTAATATTGGCAATTTGTACTGTATCGAATATTTAATAATTTGGTTATTATAAAAAACATCACGACTTTGTCCTACCTTCCGTGTTTAAACCACGTGTTTTTTTATCTCATATTCCTATGTTGGGCAGTATATCTACAAATTACAAGGGTTTATATAATGAAAAATTGATAGATAACTTTCAACAATCGGTCACTACATATTATACATCCAGCTACAGGTACGTTTTCTTGGCATCGACCTCTCGATAGTCCACTCTTATATACTTGGACTTCGATTGGAAGGTTTTAGAATGACCAGTACGGCAGTTGATCATTAGCCATTGATTACTACATCAAATGACTCGTATACCAGATGAAAGACGTCAATTTTTTAAATTTAAGAAAGCAGATTAGAAAATATTATACTTAAGCCTCGTTCTTTTGATCTAACAAAAATGGAATTTAAATTCTCTTCTGCTTTGATGAGCTGAAACGTTCTTCTTCAACATAAACATTACGATTTGCTTGCAAAGTTACTTCCATTAACATAAAAAATAAAAGTAAACAAAAAGTAACAAAATTAAAAAAAAACATGGTTTAACGTATGAATGTGTAAAAAAAAAGCCGTTCGTATACGTAAAGCTCCACTTAAAAAATTTGAACATCGCCCCTACAACAGAAAACCTTGAAATTACAGAATATTTAGAGCCAAAAAATAGAAGATCAATTTCGTCAAATATAAACTGCCAATCATGGCAATCATATGTTTCAAAATATTAATTCAAATACTTCCATTAATGAAATTCTGGGATGCAGTACGAAAATAAGTTGTAAGTATAAAAATTCAGTTCCAACTGTTCACTTAAAAACTGGTGATTGGCCAATATGCCCAAAACACAAACGGATATTGCAGAGAACTTTGGCTTAAACTTTTTGAAAAAAACTCTTCTTCAAAAAATTTATTGAAATGAATTACACACAACATAAAATGCTAAAGCTGAGAAAAGAGCATATTAAAACTTACTTCAACAAACGACTGAAGACTATAATTCCCTTTTCTCTATTGATGACTTAATTTATTCGATAAAAACTGCAAAAAGATAGTGCTGCAGGGCCCGGACGAAATTTTACTACCAGCTTTCTTAAAATATTTACCACCCCAATCTCTTGACTTGCTTTCTTGAAATTTTTACAAAATTTGCGTATCTTGGTAAAGTCCTTGGAAAAATGCGATTGGTTATTCCTAATCCTAAACCTGGAAAAGATACGTCCGACCCTACAAATTATCGTCCAATTTCACTAACAAGTTGCCTCTGCAAAACATTCGAAGAGAATGAGAATAATCGCTTAGTTTCGTATATTAAAATCTAATTGGGAATTATCCACTAAATTTTCAGTCAGGTTTTCGTCAAACAACTAAGTATAAACGATCATCTTGTACGACTTGAAACTTTTATTAGAAAAGCCATTGGTAAATAAACAACAACCTTACGGTATCATTTTTTTCTTGATCTCTGAGAAGGCTTACGACACTACTTGGAAATTATGGTATCTAAATAGATCTAAAAATAGCTGTATTTAAATGGCAGACTTCCTCTTTTCATTCTTGGCCGTTTACTAAACGAATAGACACTTTAAAGTAACTTAGTTCAACTTTTTTCTGAGGACACACAACAAGAACAGGATGTTTCCAAGGGAAGCATACATTTCTGTTTACTCTTTTTTGCCCTGAAATTAAACAATGTTGCTAGCGCTCTTACACCAGACAAGATTGATTCTCTATTATGTAGACGATTGTCTTATCTGCTACTCGGTCAAAAAAGTATGAGAACAATTGAAATGCAACTTTTACAAAAAATATTAAATAAGATTCAAAAGTTGGCGAACAGAAAAATGGGTTTTAAATTTTTTCAAAGTCAAAAAGTCAATGTGTTCATTATTGTCTAATTTACGGAACATCATAAATGACCCTGAACCTGTACATATCCTGGTTCAAAAAATTCAGTAGTTGATGAAGCTAAGTTTCTAGGAATTATATTTGATAAAAAACTTTCTTTTATACATGTACCACACATTAAACATTAAAAAACTCAATGTCTAAAAGCTTTTAATTTACTTAAGGTTTTATCAAGTACAAATTAGGGATCACGTTCTTCCACATTAATGAAATTATAGAGAAGTCTTATCCGATCAAAATTAGATTATGGTTCTGCAGTATATGGGTTTGCAAAAAAATCATATCTTAAAATGATAGGTAATGGTATCATTTTAAGATATGATTTTCTTGCAGACCCATATACTACAGAACCATAATCTAATTTTGATCGGATAAGACATCACCAGGGTTTACGATTAGATTTAGGTGCTTTTCGCACGTCACCTGTAGAAAGTCTATATGCGGAAGCTGGGGAACCGTCACTTCATCTACGTCGAAAAAAGCTATCACATCAATATGCAACTAGAATTTCATCTTATAGCAAAAATCCAGCTAAAAATATTATTTTCGATCCAAATTATACTGAAAAAAATGCTTTAAGCCAAAGGAAATTAAACCATTAGGCCTTCGTTTAAAAGATGATTTAGATAAACTTAAAATTAATCCAGACAGTATCCTTCAAAATGACGATGAGGATGTTCCACCTTAGACTTATAATTCTCCGAAAATTAATATTAATCTTTCAAATTTAAAAAAGTCATCAAATTCACCTGAACATTTCAAAGAGAAATTTCTAGAAATTAAGGAAGAACATGAAGATTTTATACATATCTATACGGACGGTTCAAAAGAATGTTGCAAAGTAGGTGCAGCTGTGTTTGGAAATAATTTTACATTTAGTATGAGGTTACCAGATAATGCATCAATTTTTACTGCTGAAGCAAATTAAATTAGATTAAGAATTGTCATACATAGTTCAGCATACCCACGATAAATATGTGATATTTTCTGACTCGCTTTCTGTTTTAATATCCATTAATAAAATCAAAGTTATGATGTGTTGACGTGCCGTAAAAATCCAAACAAACAAAATCAATGAAACATTTCAATATTCTAAAGACAGATCAGTCAAGTAAAATTATGGATATAATCTTTATTTATGATTAATATAAGTTTGACAGATGGTTGTATGTTTTGTTTTACATTAGTAACATTAAAACATAGTGAATTAAAATTTACTTTTGTAATGGATTGACTGAGAAACAAGAAAACACTGGTAATCTGTACAAATTTGGTTTACA